CTAATTGGTGCCTCTTCAACAACTGTTCTCATCCTCTTCAATCCATTAATTCCTAGACAACAGCACTTCTGAGAAGCCGTAAAGTGAGTTAGCCAAAGTCAAAGCACTCATCACCCCCCTTTCCATTAAAGCTCCGCACATCAATACCTGTCCACTCCTGGAGTACCGTCGTCTGGCCACAGATCTGATGCTATCCCTACATGATGTAACCGGCGGTTCACTAACAGGCCTAATAAATGGACAATGCATGTGCCTGTCCATTAACTTCTAACATGGTGTATTACACTTGAGAAGCCCAACTTTTTCAAGGTTGTTTAAGGGTGCTTTTTGGATTGAATTATGCATGAGGGAGGGAGTACTTCCTATCGTTCAGCTATGTAATAAAATGAGCCTGTCTGATTGTCCTTCAGCGCTGATACATATTTTTTTAAATTTAAAAGTATACGTGACATTTTGGCTCATGAAAATGGATAGCACACAGGTGTAGGGTTTGCTTTGACTTGTTTTCAGGGATGTGCTAGAGTTTTAAGATGTATCTGTATTTTTTTCCCAAAACTGGGTAAATTACCTTGTGTAGGGAGAATTGCCATTGATTCAAGTGGCATAGCAATTGTAGAGTGAATAGCTGGATGCCGCCTTTGTTGGTTAGCATGAAGCCATTGATGTTATTCTGGTTATGTACTGTGCAATCAAACCAGAGACGGACGATGATGTTTGTAAGTCACATACCTGTAACTTTGTGTGGGGGTTTGTGTGTGCAAGAAACTGTTCTTGCCTGGATACACACGTGTGTGTACGCATGTGTGTGTGTGTGTATGTGTGTGTGTGTGTGTGCAAAGGTTTCACACTAATTCATTCTTCTTCCTTCATCTTCTTTACCTGAGGGACAGCAGATGAGTTTTGAATGCTTTCAGGGTTTGTTTCCCTCATCTCTAGCTGACGACTACCATCCAATCATGACACTGACCCAGGTGTTATTCTCCAATTACGAGCCTGTAACCAAACTCATCTTTTCATACCACCGCAGGGCCCACAGTTCCATGCAGGGGTCCACGTGGATTTGAAGTTATGTATTACATATTGTGCATCAAATGGACATGTTTTAGGCTTGTAATGTTGAAAATTGTATCTTTTTTTTTTTAAGTCACGATGCTGCAGCTGTAAAAATGCTCCAATTCTAGTTGTTCTACTTGGTGGAAAAACTGTGCATCCCGTTGTATCATAATATTATAATATGGATTTTGTTTAATAGGGCTTTACTAAAAGTCTATTTCAGATAGCGTTGTGCTGATGCGAGCCATTTTGTGTATCAATTTTCCTAACTAATCACAAAGATTCCTGATTTGCAGCCCTTCTATACAGAACCTATAGATGAAGTGAACTGAGCCAGAAATTATCAGACAATTATAGAAAAAAAAGCACCATACAGACCTTTGGAAAGCACGAGCTCAGAAGAGCCATTGAAACAGAATAAGCACAACTATGTGTGATATAGTGGCTTTATTTAATTTATGCTTGTTAAGTATATACATGCAGGGCCTTTTTGTTTGACTGGAAAATGATGAATTACCTTGGGTCCTGTCACCGAGCCATCTTTTTTAATGACCTTGTATTTTCGTAGATCATATTTTAGGAAAGTATAGAGGATATGATAGCTGGCAGCCAGAGGTAAGACTATACGTTTCCACTAGCTATGTCTTGAGTTTATAAAATAAATAGTCCAGATTTTTTCATATTATGGTGAAATTGGAGCAGTAAAGCTTTCACAATCTGGGCAAGATGGCAGAATGTAGAGAAAGGTTGTTTGTGTGGGTGCGCAAGGAAAGAGGTAGAAAGAGAGTGGAAGCAGGAGAGTCAATGTAAAGGACAGTAAGTAGAAAGGGTTCAATAGTCTCTCTGCTCGCTATACTTTTCTTTTCATATTGACTTTTCTTTAACCTCCCTTCCTCTGTTCTCTGCTTAGCTAATCAAATTTTTCCCACTAATATGCACTTTGTATCCATTCATAGTGCTCTGCTGTGCAATGTGCAACCTTTTCCTCGAAATTCCAATCAAGCTCTCCATCACCAAGTTACAGCTAAGTCAGTAGTAATCTTACATCTCTGTGTTCTGCATTGATGGTGTAACTGAATGTGACCCTAAAAGCATTTTAGGCTCAAGGTCATCTGGCCTTTAGTTGCCTTCCTGCATCCATATGAGTCACACAGTCTCTAATATGTGCCAGTGTGGTGTGAGAAAAATGTATTCAATCCTCCTAGGTACTCTTCAGTTGACAATCATAGGACAGTTAGAAGGCAGAAGTGCTGTCTTTATCCCTCCTTTCCTCTTTTTTGATCATCTGAGTGTAAGAATCTTAGGGATTACTGGAAAATCCTTTACAGTTTTGAATATCTTGGGCAAATATGACTTAAAATTATTTCTTTGTGATGACACACAATTACCCTAGCAGCTACAGCTTAATTAAATTAAAATAAACCTTTGTTTCTTTGTATGTGAAAGCCTGGAGAAGCTAATCGTTGTTCTTGAGCAGGCTGCTGGTCATGATGATTCGCGCCGACATGTTGTATGTCTTGTTACAGCATTGATTCTTTTATCGAGCTACCTGAAATTCCTTCGTCTTACTTTCCAAACATGTTGAATTAATAAAGAAGCCCTAAACGTTCAATCGCAGGCAGAGATTTGGAGCACTTTTTAGAATTTTGGTGACATCTCCATCTCTCACTCGCCTGCCTTCTAAAGTCAAGCTGGCGTGACTAAAATACTTCACACATACTTCGTCACAGTGCACTTTGGCTGCAGTGCTTTTGAGATTCGGGCCTGGCTAACAGGCTTAGGCTCCTCTGTCTCTCTCACGTCAGTATTTCTCCTTCTTTTTACCTAAACGTAACATTATGGCACTGTGGATCCAAGCAATCAGAAAGCACCAAGGCCAACATTTACTATTTGTGTTCTGTGGTGTATGTAGTATATGCTTTACTTAGTTGAATGCACAAATGCTTTAAAAAAATTCCAGAGGAACAGAAGTGAAAATATAAGATGATGTAACAACATATGCATTAAAAACATACTCACAAACACATTTTGGGATTTTGGTCAAATGAATGATGGGAAACACCCGGTGGTGAAAAATACACAATATCTTTGCACTTTTACCACACTGTGATGCATTTTCAGATCTATTCACACTGTGGTTACAGCAAAGTTCATAGATAGTACTTTACTTTCCCTTGCAGCTCCTCCTTCCTCCTTTTCACACTGTGCCACAGGTACATTTGATAAGAGTCTGTTGACTTTGTGATAGACTTGTTACTGCTGTTGCAGAGAGAAGTTGTATATCTTGTCTTGCACATTTTATATGGTCATTTAACTGGTGAGCACAAAGCAAATTTATTAAGTGAAAACGGTCGTGTCCGTGAAAATGTTTTGCTTAAAAAAAACTGTTGTCTTTAGTGTTTTGTTTGACTGTTTTATTTAATGTCTAATTAGTTTATAGGCTTTCTGGTTGTCTGCTGTGATGCTGTCTCAAACAGATGTGAATATACTATCCAGAGATTCAGGCATTAAGGCAGTGTGAGAGTGAGTATGTGTATTAGTTTGAGTGTAATGAGCACTGCAGTCATTAGCTGGGACGGGGAAGGGGTGTGGGCTGCAGGATGGCACAGATGGTGGTGGAATGAGACCCGGACTCACTGCAGATTTATGCTTCTCTCTCAGGTGTCTGTCTGTGTGTCTGTGAGTCTCTGCTTGCTCACTCTCATTTCTCATTTCAAAGTCAGACACTGTGTGCCAAATGCGTAAGATGAGGGGAGCCATCGCTTTCCACATCGAGTCTCTCTGGGGCTCCTCACAAACATTTTGTCATCAAAATAAATTCTGCTGCCCTTTGTGCTGTACGTGCATTTGTGTCGTTTTTGTAGGCACACATTTGCACGATTTCCATTAATCAACGAGAATAATTCAGCTCTTTTTTTCTTATTGTGAATGGCAACAGCTTATCAAGAGCATATGTTCTAACTGTGAAGATTTGGAAAAATAAATGCTCATTTTATATTTGATCTCAGACGCATATTTAAAAAAAATGATGGGGTCCTGTTTACCACCGTGTTGCATCACCTCTTCTTTTAACAACACGATAAGCGATCGGGAACTGCCATAGTTTGGAAATCAAAATATTTTTCCCGTTCTCGCTTGGTGTACGATTTCATCTGTTTGCAAGTTTGAGAGCTAATTTGTTGTATTTTTCCATATTGCACCAAATCTTTTTATCTGGTGACACGTCTGAACTGAAGGCAAACCAATGCCTTCAGTTCAGAATCTGGTTTATCATTGTCTTCCTGACATGTCATCACATCAGTGCCATCTGGATGTCAGCATAAATTGCTTCGAAAACCTGTTCAGCATTAATGGCGCCCTCAAAAATGTATCTGTCTTAAATGAGCTTGGCCAAAGAGAAGTTGGTGGCTCTTTTGGCTCTTCTCTTTATATCATTTATATATAAATACCTTTTATGATCCATCTATCTTCTGTCACGGGGAGAAGCAGCCAAAGCAGAGGCACACAGATCCCCATCCCTCCTGCCATCTTCACCAGCTGTTCATGGATTGAAGAGGTTGGACACGAAGTCGTTCACAAGCCAGCCGAGAGATTTAATCTCTCCAGTGTGTCCTTGATCTGCCCCAGGGACTGCTCGATAGCACACATGAGGAAAAGCAAATTTAGGAGGTGCTCAGGAGGTATCCTAGTTACATGCTCAAGCTACGTCAAGTGACTCTCTTCAATGTGTCAGAGTAGCAGTTCTACTCTGAGCCTCTCCCAAACAACTGAACTCATCATCCTATCTTTGAGAGAGAACCCAGATACCCTACTGAGGAAGCCACTTTTGCCGCTTGTATCCGCACTGTATCCCACCTGGCACAGAATGCGAGGCGACAAAAATGCTGCTCTTTTCTACTTCAAGGTATTTTGCTTTAATATTTTCTGTCTTCTTTGTCTTTGCTCAGATCGCACTGGGAAGCGCTCCATCATGCCCGACTCACCTGCGGACGTCAAGACACAGTCCAGGTTGACCCCCCCTACCATGCCACCCCCACCCAGTACACAAGGAGCACCCCGTAACAGCTCCTACACGCCAACTACATGTGAGTAAGCAAAGAGGACGTGTTTATTGCTGATGGAGACGTCCAGCGATATAAGAAAACCTACTTTTATTGCAAACCGTGACCATGCTGCAAATATGGTCCAGTGTTACAGTGAGAGAAATAATGTGACTACTTTTGCTATTAATGGCCAACCAGCAACAGCCTGCTGATGAGTAGGAAGGAGGTCAGAAAATTACCTTCCTATAAATGTTCCCATCATTGCTCAAAGATCACAAAGAAAAAAACAAAACAAATAATCTTAACACAGTTAATATTTTACACTAATGTCGCAGCTCAGTCATGTCCCGGCTGGGTGTATGGTTGGGGGTATAACAATCATATAAAAATTGCACTCTAAAAATGGTGATTGACAGTAGATTTGCAGAAGCTCATACAGAACAACGCAGTTCCAGCATGCGAGTTATTAAGGTGGACGTGTGGGACTCGTGAGACCCTCTTATCAAGTTGCATTGAGCCTTTTCAATTCTTTCCCAACAAGTTCATTAACACCCATGCTTACAAACTGTTGGAGCAATGCCATGACGCGCAAATAGCTTGTGACGAGCAAATTACACCCTAGTATTCACTCAGAAGAGCATACTTAACCACTTGCATGAAGAGCACTAGAATCAAAGAATCGGAGGCCCTGTGTGCTCAGAGCACTTGAGTCTGCATTGGTACTGCTGGTACTTTGCAATGGCTGAATTATTTTGTTCATTTTTAATCACATACCCCCTTTTTTTCATTGATGTTATTTACTTTCTCTCTCTCCCTTTGCATCTGTCTGTCTGTTTCGCTCTCTCTCTCTGCTGCAAACGCTCACACACCACAATTAACATTGGGGCTTCCGTGCAATGAGGGAGGAAAGGCCCAACTCTCTCATTACACATGCCAAAGGTTTTAACAAAGCAGTATGCTTTGATTTCCATCCGACGTAATTGTTACCAGATGCAGTTTGAGCATCTCGTCTCTCTCCTCTCTTTACAGTGGTGGGTTTGGACGGCGGCCAGAGGGGGAGTGAGTGGATCGCTAGTCACAACCTAATCTCATTAGAGAGAGAGCTTTATGCTGCCTTGTATCTCTTTGTACAGCAACTCCCCCAACACACACACAGACACATATAGCTTCCGCGCTGTGGAGCACAGGGGGGGTCTCACTGTCACCAGCATGTTTAGAGCTTCGGGAAGAACAGAAAAGGGAGACGGAGGTAGAGAGAGGCAACGTGTCTCCAAATACAGAAATATGTTTTTATGGGAGGATGCCGCGAAGGTTCAAAGGAGGCGCACTAATTGGAAACAAATGCGGACGCTTGCGGATGATTTTAGGGGAATGCACATCGTTTGAAATCACTGGTCTCCACAAAGCTGTTGTTTCCTCCGTGATTTGTACGTAGCAGGAAGAAATCCAGTGTTACTTTAACAGTAATGTGATTTTATCAGAAATAAAATTTACAAAAATAATAAGAAATGACGTCAAGAAAATGCAATTAGCAATAAGCTGTCTGCTGTTGACATTATTCTCTATGTCCTTATCTCACACAGTAACCAACGGCAGTAGCCACTCCCCAACGGCGCTCAACGGCGCTCCATCTCCTCCAAATGGTTACAGCAATGGTCCTAGCTCATCCTCCTCATCGTCTCTGGCCAACCAACAGCTGCCTCCAGCCTGTGGTGCCCGACAGCTCAGCAAGCTCAAGCGCTTCCTCACTACTCTCCAGCAGTTTGGGAACGACATCTCACCTGAAATTGGCGAAAGAGTCCGCACATTGGTGCTGGGATTAGTGGTAAGAACCTTTGGTGTCTGTGAGCTGGAAGAGGAAGTAACTGCTTGGTGCTGTTAAAAAAATGTGTTAATATGTGTAAATACAGTACTGTGCAACAATCTTGAGTGAATCTTTATTTACTTATATTTTGATTCCAAGAAGTCAGACTTTCTTGTAATTTTTTAAAGTGGTCTTGAGCAGTAGTAAGTCATTCAATCAAAAAAAGACACCTATTTCAAGGAATTGTGTCTACACATAAACAACTTAGTGAAGAACACATTTTAAATTATATCTTTAGGCACTTTGTTACTAGCATCCTTTCAAGAAAATCTTGAATCTCTGAAAAAGGCCAATGATAACACAGTTTGACAGGTTTAAATAGCATGTTTTCACCAACAAGATGACTCTCAGAGGCATATTAGTGTATCTTGGAAGATTTTGGACAAGTAAAAGAACAAAAGAAGAAGTGGCAGGCCTTAAAAAAAATATCTCCAGCAGACGATCGTTGGCTCAAAACCTTTGTAGAGTTTCTGCCTTCAAAACTGACATCGATCGGTAACGTTAAAACTCATTCTTGAGGATCACACAATGCCTGGCAAACAGCAGTGACATGAGGCTGGCAGCATCCATCTTTATACAGCTGATCTACAATGAATTTAACTACACTGCTGTGATTGCAACTGAAATGTAACAACGTGGAAACGACGGCGATATGGATTAGACTTCCCATTCCAGCATCAAACTAATGTTGTCACTAAGGGTGTGCAGGTGTCTGACAACCTAACATAACTCACCCAGTTGCATATTAAAACTGTTATTTATGTAGCTAATGAATAGATGTAATTGCAATCAAGTGATGACTGTGGCTTTAAGAGGATGCTCAAATTAAAGCATTACTGCTAATCACACTTCTAACCCTAATTAAGATCCAGCAAATAGAGGGAATAAAACAGCATTTGATATTCAACATGTAAATCAGAATTTGTCTGAGTTCGTCAATTATGAGAAAAATGTAGGAAAAGATTGAAAAATATGAACGCAGTTGAAGATATGAAGGTTTTAAATACAGCACATTCTTTACTGGAAATTCACATTGGTACCACGAATGTCAATATTGGCATTTCTACAAAATATACATCGAGTACATTTGATAAGACAGATGTGTTTCCCAGTTTAGTTGACACGGTTATGCTAAGGATATATCAGGGAAAGGATTTGGTGTAAAATACAATGTGCAAATCTGAAGATTTACCACACGTCTTTGTGATCTGAGAAATTTTGAGCCTAATGAGCAGGGGAATACAGAAATAATGATTGAATGTTGTGCAGAAAAGAGGAGGAGGCGGAGGAGAAGGAGGGAGGATTTTTTTTAATTAGCCACATAGAGCATAACCTCCTTTTGGCTTCACTATGTTTATTTTTCTCACCGTCTGCATACGCACATGCCTCTCCTGTGTCCTTTTGGTTTGCATACCTCCCCTCCATACACCCCCCTCAGTCTTCCTCTCCCGCTCACTGTCTCTCTGTCCCTCCCCCTGCCTCGCTGAAAAGAGTGACACCGTTAATTAGCTGGTTGTGTGCTTGGGAGAGGGAGAGAGGGAGACTCGGGAGGTTTCACTAGCTGTCAAGAACAGCCCCTACGCAATCTGGGCGAACAGATGTAAGACTGAATGTAACAAAATTCAGGTCTGGGAAATAACGCTGAGAGTGTTGGGAGGAAAAAT